GGAGTGAGGAGTGTGTCTACTGCAGACTCATTGACTGAGGCCTTTTTTAAAAAAAATATTTTTGTTTTAGTTGTAGTTGGACAAAATACCTTATTTTATTTTATTTATTTTTTTAATATTTATTTTTTAGGTGTAGATGGACAAACACAATGCCTTTATTTTTATGTGGTGCTGAGGATCGAACCCGGGACCTGGGACCCGCCCATGCTAGGCGAGCACTCTACCGCTGAGCCACAATCCCAGCCCCCTTTATTTTATTTTTATGTGGTGCTGAGGATCAAACCCAGCGCCCCGCATGTGCTAGGGGAGCACTCTACCACTGAGCCCCAGCCCCAGCCCCAGCCCTAGCCCTGAGGGCCTTCTTTTTGCCCTCCCTGCTCTGAGATCCCAGAGCCTGCATTTCAACCTGTCAGCTACATGCAGCAAGCTGGCCTGCAGGTAGCTGGGAGGAAGACCTGCCCATTTGTTGTCCACAAGCAAGGGCACCTCTAGGACTTAGAGGATGGCCCCAGAGGGGAATGCAGGTGCTGGCTTCCTGGGGTACCTAGGCTGGCAGAGCACCCTGAGCTTCTCAGAGCCAGGGCATGGTCCAGGTGGTCCTGTTTCAGGTTTAGCCATCAGGGCTCCTCTGCCCATGGGAGCAGGTGGATGATGATGTCATGAACTCAGGTGTCACAAAGTGCACTTTAATTTCTTGATCTGTTTGATGCCGGTAGGAACAGTGCTACAGCAAAGTCCAAAATGAGATAAAGGGTCTGGAGAAGCATTATAAATTATAAAGTGCAGCACGATTTGAGGGTGGTCTTCAGAAGGCAAAGGCCTTGAATGCAGGGAGTTGAGAGACCCCGCCACCTGCACAGCCCCCCTTTGCATTAGGCTCAGTTGGGTGCACCACTGGAGACCAATCCCTTTGGCAGATACGGGGCGTCTTGACTACAGTGTCAGCCAGCTTCCCGTCATTGTGACAAAATACCCGAAATAATCAATTTACAAGGAGGAAAGGTTGATCTTGGCTCACAGAGTCAGAGTTCAGTTGATGGTTGCTTGTCCCCGTTGCCTTGGACCTGGAGTAGCACAGTACCTCAATGTGGTAGCCCGTGGCAGAGGAGGCCCACTTTCTTCATTAAGGCCAGGAAGCAAGGACAGACAGGAGGGTCTGGATCCCCATGTTCCCTTCAAGGCACAATCCTAGGGACTTGATTCCCTTCCACTAGACCCCACTTCCCAAAAGTTCCATCACCTCCCAATAATGCTGTAGGCTGGTGACCTGGCCTTCCTTCATGGGCCATTGAAAGTCCTCTCAAGGAAAGATGTTTGCCTGTTACACAGTTGTTTAAAAAATCTTTTGCTTTTATCACTTTAGTTAAAATTATATTAGATGGCTTGTTTTGTGGTATTTCCAAGGACATACAGTTTGCCTTTACACATATACACACCTGCTGATTCTTTGAATTGGTCAAGACAGACCAGGGTTGAAGCTTTCCTTTGCTCTTTGGAGTTGGGCAAGTCACCTGAAGTTAAACTCTCGGTGACTCCTGTATCCCCTGCTGCTGTTGAGATGGTGATATGGTTTTTCATCATTAGGCTGTTCACATGGGGAATCCAATGGATGTTTTGGGTATTGGACTAGCTCTGAATTCCTGGGGTGACCCCCACGGGGTCCTGCCATGTTATCCTTCGAGTATCAGTCGCAGTTTTCTTGTAATGTCATTATCTGGTTTTGGTGTTAGGGTAATGCTGGCCTCATCAAGCAAATGGGGAAGTGTTCGCTCCTCTTCCATATTCTGGAAGAGATTGTTGGAATTGCTATTATTTCTTCCTAAAATGTTCAGTAGAATTCACCCAGTGAAACCATTGGTGCTTGAAACCATTGGGGCCTGGCACATTTTTGGTGTGGGTGTGTCAAGGTTTTAAAGGATGAATTCAGTTCCTTTCATAGATGGAGGGCTATTTCTTCTTGAAAGAATCTTGGTAGTTGATGTCTTTCAAGGATTGGTTCATTTCATCTTTATCTGCATTATTGAGTTTATGGGTGTAAAGTTGTTGATAATTTTCTCTTATCATTTTCATATTTATGAGGTCAATAGGGAGGCTCCTTTTGATTTCTGATTTGGTAATTTATGTCTTCTCTTTCTTTTGATCAGTCTGCCTAGAGGTTTACTGATTTTACTGAAAAAAAAAATCCAAAAAAACCCCCAAAACCTCCCTCCCTAAAAGACCCAGCTCTGAGTTTGACTTTTTTTCCCCCTGTATTCTATTTTTTCAGTTGGATTGGTATTTGCTCTTCTCTTTTTTATTTTTCTGGATTTAACTTACTTCTCTATCTCTAGTTTCTTTTCTTTTCTTTTTTTTTTTTTTGTACCAGAGATTGAACTCAGGGGCACTTGGCCACTGAGCTACATCCCCAGCCCTATTTTGTATTTTATTTAGAGACAGGGTCTCACTGAGTTGCTTAGTGCCTCGCTTTTGCTGAGGCTGGCTTTGAACTCGGGATCCTCCTGCCTCAGCCTCGTGAGCTGCTGGGATTACAGGTCTGTGCCACTGCGCCACTCTCTAATTTCTTAGGGGCAAAGTTCACATTGCAGATTTGGGATATTTCTTTACTAATATAAGCTGTTCCCTCTCCACCTGGCTGGAGCTGCAGCCCGTGGTTTCTGATACATTGCATTTTCATTCAGATCAAAAATTATAAAACCGTCCTTTGAAACTTCCTGTTGGCCTGTGTATGTACTCTTTAACAGATATCTTTGTGTAACCGGTTTCTCATTTAATTCTGTTGTGGTTGGAGAGCTTCCTTTGTATTCTTTCTATTCTTTTAAATTTAAGATGTGCTTTGTGACCAAGACCCAATGTCTGTCTTGGTGAATGTCCCACGTGTCCTTGAGAAGCACATGCAATTGCTGTATTGTGGAGTATACCATCAAGGTGGAATTAATCTAGAGGCATTGTTCTTGTCTATTTTCTGTCTACTTATTTTATCCATCATTGAGAGAGGAGTGTTGGTCCTCAACTAAAATTATGAGATCTGTCTATTTCACCTGCTAATGCTGTTAAATTTTTAACTTTAAAAAAATTTTTTTTGAAGGTGGTGGGGTCTGGCTGTGTTGTCCAGGTTGGCCTTGAACTCCAGGGTTCAAGTGATTCTCCTGCTGTCTGTTTAGGCTTCACCTACTTTAATCTGAAAAGTAGGCAAACCTCCCTGGCTCACGTGGGACACATAGTGGTAATAGCTCACATCAATCAAGCTTGAATGTGCCATGCCATATACTTTCCTCGTGTTGTCTGTCTGATCTCCTTGACAGTCTCATGATGAAGGTTCTGCTATCATTTCCACGTCAGATAGGAACCAAAGCTCATGAGGTTTGCCCAGGGTTGCCTGCCGGGGTGCTCTATTTCCTGTCCATCTGTCCTGAGCCTTGCTGAAGCCCCTTGCTGGGGTTGGCATACTGTTAACTTCCCAGTGAAGGCTGCTGGCTTTTTGTTGTGGTCTCCAACCTGTAGTTGGGTAACTGTATGCAGTACCACCAACCTGCTAGTTTCTGTCCTGGGCCCTGGAAGGTACATTACGGAAAAGGGGCCCCAAGCTCACAATGCAGGAGAGGAGCTGAGAAGAGGTAGAGGAGATCAGGTCCCTCCTGGTTCCTACACCAGGAAAGGAACCCATCTGGACCCTTGATAAGGTGATAAGGGCATGAACCAACAGCGCCTGGCCCAGGACATGCTTGATGAATGAAGAATGACTTTACCAATCAATCAGTATCTCCACCTTCCTGAAAGGAGTTATGGATTTGTGGGGTTGGGTGCATCTGCATCCATTTCAGATTTTTTGTTGCTGTTGCTTTTCATTTTTTGTGGGGCTCGGGATCAAACCATCAATGCCGCAGGGCCCACCAGGACTGCAAAATTGTGCCTGAGGAGTCTCAGCCTCTTCTGCCTTTCCGTGCTGGGCCAGGCTGTGTCACTCACTTTCACCCACAGGCCTAAAACATTTTTTCTTTGAATTTAAGGTGGTGTTGGCCATTCTTTTTGTTTTCTTTTATGGTGGGACTCAGGAACACCTCAAAGCGATGGTTTTTCCCAGAACTATCCGCAGCTGACTGGTACTGTTGGAGATCGCTGTCACACTTTGACCTTCTCCCAAGCTGACCTAAACCTCCCCTGTTGTGATGGTCTTTGCCATCCAGAGCTTGCTTGCTCTCAAATTCCAGCCTTGCGTGGACATGTGTTGGCTCTGCTTTAGGATGTGTGTCTTTTCAGAGGGTCCCCCTAGAAAGCGAGGAAGGTGACATGTGTGTTAAGGTGAAACAAACAGATGAAGGGAACAGACTGACCTTGGCACCATAGCACCCTCAGGCATCCAGCACTTTCTCACCTGCTCTTGCCTCTTCCAGAACATGATCCTGGGTGGCCAGTCTCATCACCCCGTTTCACTCTAGGGAAACCTGGGCTCATATTGACAATGGGTGGTCCCTCTGGGGAACGGGGATGGGTGGAGCCCTGCTCCCCGCCCAGACTGTAGGTGCCAGGACCGAGTCCTTCCTCAGCCAGGTTGGTGGCCCCCAGTGCAGAGAAAAGGGTCTGGGTGTTGACTTCAGACCAGACATCGTCCCCCACTCCTACCAGGTGTAGGCCTGGAGAAAGACTCTGGCACGGTCTCAGGTCTGTGCCAGGCATGGGACTTGAACCTAAGGCTGCCCAATAAACATGGCCTGAGTCTGCTGACAGCCAGTGATGTGACATGACCTGACGTGATGATGGAAGAGGTACTCCTGCAGCCTGAGGAGAGGCAGGAGAGGCTGTGACTCTACAGGCACGTTTTGCAGTATGGATTGGTCCTGTTTGAGGCCCCTGTCCCCTTTCTGGGCAGTCCCCACCTTCCTCCTGTCCTTTGATGTATATGGCACATGCAACAAAGTGGTCAGTTGTTTGCTTGCATGAGATCGATGTGACTTTGACTCTCCTGGGCCCCTGCTGTTTGTTTGGATGTCACAATGTGGCTTGTACCTCAGGTGCTGTTGACCCACTGCAAATAATTCCCTGACAGCAGGACATTGCTCGGAAGAGTCCCCAAGGGCCCTCAATGAAGTGAAATTGCTATGAGCCTCTTCCTTACAAACCTGCAGGGTTTCCATCACTGAGCCCATTCATCAGTGACCCTGGTGACCTGAGTTATCCCTGGAGCTCACCTGACATTTCCTCCTGGCTCTGGTAGGTCATTCCTCTCCTTTAGTCAACCTCTGATGTCCTTGCAGCCTGTGACCTTGAGGGGGAGTTACTGGGTAGCAGAAAGCTGGGACTTGTGCTGCTTGAATGAGGTGGCCCACGCATGAGGGCCCATGGGCTTGGGAGCTGCCCAGGGGGCCACCCAGGGGGCCACCCAGGGGGCCTCTGACACTTGCTGGGAGGGAGAGTCCCGGCACACCCCTGCTCTACTCATATCTGACGGGGATTTTTCTTCCTGCTAATCCAATTTCAAGAGGGAGGTCCACCCTTCCGAGTGGACTTTGGGAAGTGACAGTAATAAGGAAAGGATGTTGGTCTGTCCCTTCTGCCTGAATTCCACTCCCAACCGTTAGTCATTCTTTCCTGCTAAGCAGGTGCTTCTCTTAACAACACAAATTCTCAAGGTAACCCAGGTTACCAGATGGAGTCCCTCCTTCCAGGGGCAGGTTGACCAGGGGCATGGGACCTGGGTGGAGGAGGGAGGGGTGAAGCCATATGCTAGTTTTGATCAATCTGACCTTAATTGGAAAACCTGGGCAGATGTCAGTTGCTATGGGGTCAGCCAGGTTACCTGAGTGCCTTAGTTTCCCTCCTTTACCTGGGTTCCCACAGAAGTCACAAGAAGCGTATTTCTCCTTGCTCACTTCATCTTCTGTGAGTGCTTGGGACCAAGAAACACAGACTTGGGGGGCTGGGGTGGGGCCAGAGCCTCCCCTAGTTGCTGAGACCCACACCTATGGAGCTTCTGTGGGGCTGGCTCTGCCCCTACCTGGAGGGTTGGGATGCTTCTCCAAGCCCCTGACTCTCTTATCTGCAGTGGGAATGTAAACGACAGGACTTTTCTTTTAGGGTGGTTATGGGTTGCAAGAAATAAGGTATGTGCTCAGCTTACTGGCCACCAATTGGCATTAGTGACACCCACAGGCAGGATCATTTTGTTGATCTTTGATCCCCCCAGAGTAAGTAAGGGTCTCCTTTGTGGAAGCTCAGTGTTTGGCTGAAGGCATTGAGTTAGATTTGCAAGAGCAATTTCTCCCCAGGGCCTGTTGGGGAAGGGGGAGGGTTCCTACTTCTGCTGCTGAGGAGGGAGGGGAGGAAGTTCCCTAGCCCTGGAGAGGCCCTTGTGCCCCTCTCCTGTCACGTTTTCCTCTTCCTCCGTTGTTCCTCAGGCTGTCACCAGTGAGGAACGGAAGCCTTCCCATGCCCTGGCTCGGTGTCCCCAGACCTTTCCTGCTGTTCCCTTTCACCCAGCTGGGTGGGACTCTGCCCTGGAACTCTGCACTGTCCCCTCATTTCTCTTTGGCTTGTGTAAGAGCATTCTGGTTCTGTGGCTCAGGGTAAGGATCCTGGAAACCCCAGGGGGCACGAAGCCCAGTGCCCAGGGCATAGACCAGGCTGTTGGCACTGCAGTCTGTCACGGCCACCTTGTGCCAACCGGGTGAACTGGTTATCCTGGCACAAGTGTACATTCTTTCGGCTGCCACCAGCTCCATGGGCGCCTGAGAAGCTGCTGTGATAGCCCGAGCATGCCACATGCTCAGCTGGAGCCTGGCATAGTTAATCAGCTACCAGGGCATCCCCAAGGATCCCCCTGGGAGGCGCATTGCCTGGAACCCTGGGCTGCTTCCCTCCCTCTACTTCTCTTGGAAGGAGGAGGAGGAAGAGGAGGAGGACGAGAAAGGCATCTGCCTCACAGGGGATGGGAGGGAACACATTTTCCTCTCTTCTCTCTCTGCTTAGTGAGAAGTGACTGCAGCCCCCTGCAGATCTTCCCTGTGGGGGACTGCTTTTCACCAAAGGGTGGGAGAACAGAAGAATAGAGAATTCTGGTTTAGAAGAACAGTGGTTCTTTAGAGAACTCACCTTTTAAAGTGCATTCTGTCTAATAATCAAATCTTCATCCATGGAGTTATTAAGTAAACTCCTGTGGGTTATTATTTTTATTGTTTTTTTTTTTTTTTTCCCTAATGATGCTGGTGCTGGAACCCAGGACCTTGCATGTGCTAGGCAAGCACTGTATCACCGAGCTGCGCCCCTGGCCTGAGCTGTGGTTTTGTGATGCACATCTGTAATCCAAGTGACTCAGGAGGCTTAGGAGGCCAGCCTGGGCAACTTGGTGAGACCTGGTCTCAAAAATTAAACAGAGCTGGGAGGTCGCCTGGCATGTGTAAGGCCCTGGGTTTGATCCTCAGCACCACATAAAAATAAATAAATAAAATAAAGGCATTGTGTAAGAGATAGAGAGAGAGATAGAGAGAGAGAGAGAGCGCTGGGAGGTCGCTCAGTGACAGAATACCCTGGGTTCCATCCTCAGTACCGCTAGTGGCCACTCATGCTGCGTGTGAGCTTCTGTGCTTGTGATGATTCAGAGGGCGGGTCTGGGTCTCTGAGGACCTTGAAGCCCAGGGCACAGACCCTAGTTGTCTGTCTGTGGGGAGCGGCAGGGAGGCCAGTACATGGAGATGCATGGAGGGGACAACTGGGGAGAATGGCATTGGCAGGGGGGCATGGGCAGTAGGCTTCATGGTGGACCTGGGTCTTTAGGACGCAGCCCTAGCCACCTCCCTGCACCCTGCTGCTCCTCTCAGTCACCTGCTACCCAGCTGTACAGCTAGGGATAGACAGGCCTCAACCAAGGCCCTAGGGTGGCCTTGAAGAACTTTAGCCCCTGAGATTCTAGCAACCTCAAGAGGCCCCGCCCACCCCCTGCCCTGGCCATCCCACCCCCCATCCCACCCCGCCAGCAGCCCCAAAATGAGTCTTTATGAAGCACAGTGTTTGGGTGATGGGTGAATCCAGGTCCTGTGGCCTTGAAAGAGGCCACCCCCTGAGTCCAGAGGGATTTGTTCCTTGTTACTGCCTGCCTGGTTGTCCACCTACTTGCAGAATCCCCACAGGGGCTGCTCTGGCAATGTCTTATCTCCTTCCAAAGACGGATGGGAGCAGACCATAGGGCTTCTGAGCTGGCGAGTCCCTTAGAGATGGCTTAGCTCTCAAGTCTTACTGATGGTGAACTGAGGGCCACTGGTCACCAAAAATTTACTCTTTGCATCAGTCAGTGGGTGGGCTAATATTGATTAAAAAAAATTTTTTTTTAGTTGTAGATGGACACAATACTTTTATTTTATTTTTAAATATTTATTTTAGTTTTAGTTGGATACTTTTTTTATTCTTTAATTTTTTATGTTATTTTTTAATGTTTATTTTATTTATTTATTTTATGTGGTGCTGAGGATGGGACCCAGTGCCTCACACATGCTAGGCAAGCGCTCTACCACTGAGCCACAACCCCAGCCCTTGATATTCAAAAGCATTACAATTCTTATTACATGTAGAGCACAATTTTTCATATCTTTGTATATAAAGTATGTTCATACCAATTCATGTCTTTATACATGTACTTTGTTTTTCTTTGCATTACAATTCTTATTACACATATATACCACAATTTTTAATATCTCTTGTTTGTATATAAAGTATGTTGACACCCAATTCGTGTCTTCATACATGTACTTTGGTTGATGATGTCTATCACATTCCACCCTCCTTGCTAATCCCCTGCCTCCTCCCCTACCCTCCCACCATTCTGCCCTATCTAGAGTTCATCTGTTCCTCCCACGGTCCCCCTCCCTACCCCACTATGAATCAGCCTCCTCATATCAGAGAAAACATTTGGCATTTGTTTTTTTGGGATTGGTTAACTTCACTTAGCATTATCTTCTCCAACGCCATCCATTGACCTTCAGATCCCATGATTTTATTCTCTTTTTTTTTGATTTTTATAATCAATAAAAGAATAGTCCATGCAGATGTTGTAGTGCATGCTACTACATCTACTACATCTCAGTGACTTGAGTGGTTGAGGCAGGAAGATGGCAAGTTCAAAGCCATCCCAGGCAACTTAGTGAGACCCTGCCTTAAAAAAAAAAAAAAAAAAAGAACTGGGGATGTAGCTTAGTGGTAGAGCACCCTGAGTTGTTGAGAGCCCAGTAACTAACACACACACACAAAGTTGGAGCTACTACATCAGGGATAATGATTAAATAATTGTGATGCATGTACAATAAAGACATAAAAGAGGGTGTCCTGGGTGAGAGGTAGAGGAGAGAGGTGGGTATTGAGGGATGGGTAGGAATTTGTGAATGGGGTCCAGAGGGACAGAGGGCATTCCAGGCATGTGCAGAAGTCATTGCGAAAGAGTCTGCCTGGGTGATTGGGGTGGCAGGTGGGATCAGCCAGGCTGTGGAAGGTCTGAGTCCAGAGGGATTTGTCATTCTCAGAAGAATAATAATAAATTATAAAAATAATCTCAGGAGGCATGACTCTTCCTTCTGGTGGATGCTGGAATGTGGGAGCCATGGGTAGGTGAGGAGGCCTGGGTGGGGATGGCTTTCAGGAGGTGAGGCTCCATCAGGGAAGGCTCTGGGGGAAAGGCAGGAGGCCACGGAGAATATACTCCTAAAATAAAACATTATAGACATCATGGAGAAGGTCATGATGACAACCAGAAATCGATATTGAAAGTGTCTTACCATTCCCTCGTCTTGCTTCTGGGCCCCAGGGTCTCACTGCAGGGGATCATTGCTACCAGGGGACATTTGGTTGTCACATGGGGGAGGAGCTGCTGTCAACTGGTGGGAAGAGGCCAGTAGTAGGGTGGGGGACTGCCGAGCATCCCAGAATGCACAGTGCAGCACCCCCACACTGGAATGACCTGGCCCTAAATGCCAACAATGCAGAGGTTGAGAAGCTCTGCTTCAGAGGCAGCCAGTATCACGAAGTTAGTACACCGTGTTCTGATCTTTTTTTAAAGCACACACAGAGAAAGAATATTTAAAACTATATTGTGTTGTTTTCTAAAAATTTGTATCTGCTCTGAATGCTGCAACTCGCTCTTTTTACTTGGCTTTATGTTTCTGAGAAAGAGCATGCTGTCACATGTAGATGTAACCTATTTAACTTCTGTGGCTTAGCTATTTTATACATGGGTCATGTTTTATTTCTTCATTCTTCTGCTGATAGGCACTGAGATTATTTTTTATAATTATTATTTTTTTGCTGTTCTGAGAATGAAACCCAGGGCCTACCACAGAGCCACAGCCCCCACCCACCTAGATTGTCTCTGACTGTTCCTGGTCATTTTCGCTGGAAGCTGCCAGAAACATTCTTGCACATGCTCTTTGCGCTGTGTGTGGAATTCCTGGGATGTGGGGACATACCTCTGTGGCTTGCAAGACCTCTCTTGTGCCCTTAGCAAGACTTGAGGTGGTCTCTCATTAAGTCTTTCCTGTGTTTTTCCCCAAAGTACTGGGGATTGGACCCAGTGCTTTACTCACACTAGGCAAGTGCTCTGCCACTGAGCCACACCCTCAGCACTTTTTTTCTTTTTAAATGTTTTTTTGAGACAGTCTTTCTAAGTTGCTGAGGCTGGCCTCAAACTTGCGATCCTCCTGCCTTAGCCTCTTGGGTAGCTGGGATTATAAATGTGCACACATTACAATTGTTTTAATTTCCTTTTACTTGATTTCTAGTGAGGATGAGCATTTCTCCTCATGTATGTTGGGCACTCGAGTTTTTCTGGGGCCTCGGAGAGCCCTCATCCCAGAGGGTCCAGGTGGCATCCAGTTCTGGTGTCTCTTCCTTTGAGGAAGCTTCAGAGTCACGCATCTGCTCCTCAGCACCCATGCACACCTCTGCAGCTGCCAGTCTGGCTGCCCTCCCGACAGGGCACGACACAGTTGATTAGGTTTCGGCTTTTTATCTTGTTTTATGAGACTGCAGCGTGGTAACCTTGGCTGGGCTGGATGTTCCCAAGCCTCTCAGCGTGTTCCCAGAGGATAACTTTGTCTCTGAGTTCTGGGGGCTCCCGGGTCCTGGCATTCTCTGGGCGGTGCTGGGCGGGTCTCCTGCTGACGCCGGCTCTGTCCCTGCAGGCAGACCTCTGCGTTATGACCTGGCTGCTGGGCTACATGAACCCCTGGGATTCCAGCCTTGTGGCGGCCGCCCTCACCATTGCTTTCAATCCTCTCTTCTGGAATGTGGTAAGTACCTTGTGCCTGACCCCGTCCAGCAGGGTGACCTCGCACGGAGAGGATCACTGTTGTCCAGGCAGATGGGTGACTGGATAGCTCTGTTATGCCCTTCTCTACCAATGGTCAGCACCCCGTGAAGGTACACTGGGAAGCTCCTTGCCTTGCAGGCCCAAGCAGCAACTCAGCCGCCAGGCCTGCCCTGGGCTGACGTCAGGGTGGCCGAGGGCAGCAGGACTGGCCCTCTTAGCACCACAGGCCCTGCAGCAGAGAGCTGCCTGGCGGTAGGACTTCACGTGTACCCCCCCTTTCCTTAGTAGCCGTCATATTCAGGGAGTCGATTGCTGGGGCTGCAGGGCTCCCTTCCCTCTCTGCCTTGTCCCACTATCAAGCCATTTTCTTGTGAATCCCCCTCCTCCAGGTGGGCTCCATAAACATTGCTGTTCCCACATGTGGCTTCCTGTGAAGTAGCTTGCACGGCTGGGGTGGAGGTGTGGGTGGCAAGGACAAGCCGACCGGGACTGAAATCAGAAGACAGAGCTGGATGTACCCTATTCATTTGTGGGCACCAGGGGACACATCCAGAGGCCTGAGGGCTCTGTGGCAGGGCCAGGGTGTGTGGGCAGTGGGTTCTGGGCCCGTGGAGCAAGGTGTGGGTGCGGCAGGCCATTGGCTCCTGCAGTGTCCCCACCAAGATTGCAGATTAAGCTTTTGGGGTGTGTGGCCCTCTCTCCTGTGGCCATCTCTGGAGGGCTGTCCTGCCCCATATTGCCGAGCTGGTGGTCCCGGGGCTCAGCCAGTGCTCGGCCCTCTGAGGCAGAGCTGTGGACGCCCTGTGATCACCCTTGAGGCTAATCTACAGAAGGCCAAGATCTGCGTCAGCAACACACTGTTCCCAGTTGTTTTCATTTAAGGTGAGCCCTTGGTCCCAGGGCAGAGCACGACATGTTTTGCATCTGGTTTATGACTTGGGCCTTTTCTCCATCTGGGGAGAGTGGCAGTGTGTGGGGGCAGGGCCAGTCATCTTAGAGTGGCCACATTCTGAATGTGCTGTCCCTGTTGTCCTGAACACACTGGCCCTGCTTCAGGAGAGGGTTTCAGAGAGGGTGGTCTAGAGGTGGGACCAAGGCCAGCGAGAAGAATGACATCTCCCCTTCCTTTTGAGAAGCCTTGGTTTCCGAGTGTGTGGCGGATGTGCCAGAGTTGGTCCTAATCTCCGGATGTGGCCTCCCCAGAAAGGGTGGGTGTCTGTGGGGCCTGGCGCCTTAGCCTCGTCCCTGCTGTCCCTCACCCCCTGTGCTCGCTCTCCACCTGTGCACGCATGACCAGAGAGGGTAAAGATTAGGCTTCCGGCCACTAGAACTGTGCGAGAAGACCCTTCTGTCGTTTTTTAGCCACTGTGTTTGTGTCCATCTGTTATAGCAGGTACAGGAAATGAATGCAGGGTCAACAGGCTATTGATCCCACCTAGAAGATATCGTGGCCCTAAGTAACTGGGGTGTGTGGGTGTAGGTGTGGGTGGGTGTGTGCATGCTCCTTCCTGTCCACAGCCTCTCCCAGGAGAAGACTGCTGGGCTTCAACAGCTGCCCGGCCTCCCTGTCCTCTGGCTCCTACAGGCCTGGCTGACCAGCAGTTGTTTGAGTGTGTGCTGGTCTCCTCACCCTGGGGACTTGGGCAGCCAAATGTCCAGTGGGTCTTGGGGTGTACTTGGCCATTTTCTGCTGGCCCTTCCAACTGTGTGCTCTTTTGCACACTTCATTCTGAAGCTGTGTCATGGCCCCCAGGGACATCCAACGTAGCAAGGGGTCAAGGTGCAGTAAGATTTGAGGCAGTTTCTTGTCTGTGTGTTTGTCATAGGTGGATTTTTTCCCCCCACTTTGGTCATACGTTTTTGATTTGCCTCATTTTTTTGAAAAAATTATTCACTGGAACAGATTGTGGTCATTAGTGGTAGAAAGAACAAACTCTTCAGAGTTGTTTCAGAATGAGAAAGCGACATAATGTTTACGGTTCAGTGGGCTGCTCCCCTGGGAGAGCCATGGAATGAAATCTGGAGGCAAGAGGAGCTGGGATGAGCAGGGCCTGATGGCGCATGCCTGTGATCCCAGCAGCTCAGGAGGCTGAGGCAGGAGGATTGCAAGTTCAAAGCCAGCCTCAGCAACTTAGCGGGGCCCTAAGCAACTCAGTGAGACCCTGTCTCTAAATGAAAAAAAAAAAGTCTGGGGATATGCTCAGTGGTTAAGCACCCCTGGGTTCAATCTCTGGTACAAAAAAAAAACAACCAAACCAAACCAAACCAAAAAAGCACTAAGAGGAGCTGGGGTGGGGCTGGAGCCTGTCTCTGTGATGAGGTGGTGATTGAAAATCCACCTTGAGAAATAAAGGAGTCTGGCTGTGAAAGCACTGGAAGAGCTATTTGTTTATTATGTGGTGCAGGATGGAACCCAGGGCCCATGCATTTTAGGTGTGCACTACCACTGAGCTTCCAGCCTAAATCAGTTACTAAATTCTAATGATGGCCGATGTCCAGAGGCCTTGTCACAGACAGGCATCCCACTTGGTGCATTTCATGTGGGATCTCTGGACTTTTACAGCACTGCTGTTATATCCCCTTTGAAGGGTGGGGTTTGAGGAGGATGTTAGTCAATTAAAAAAAAAAAAACTTTTGTCGTTTATAGATGGACACAATGCTTTTATATTATTTTATTTTTATGTGGTGCTAAGGATTGATCCCAGTGCCTCACACGTGTTAGGCAAGCACTCTGCCCCTGAGCCCCAGCCCCAGCCCCTTAGTCCATTTTTTTTGTTGCTATAACAAAATATCTTGAGGCTGGGTACTTTATAAGGGGGTTTATTTGGCTCACAATTCTGGTGACTGGAGGGTTCAAAACAGCATGGTGTCAGCATCCTGTTGAGTGCCTCCTGGCCGCAGAAGGGGAAAGAGCTCAGTGCTGAAGGAGCCAAGCTGAGAAGTGGCCTTACTTTTTACAGCCTGTTCTTCAGAGAACTAACTTGATCCTGCGAGAACTATATCGGTCTCTTTTCAGGGCATTCCCCAATGACCTGGGGACCTGCCTTCCATTAGACGCCACCTTACAAAGGCTCCTCACTTCCCAACACAGCCACACTGAGGACCAAGCTTCTAGCCCATTAACCTTCGGGGAACAAAATCCAGTCATAGTCAAACCATAGTACAGAGGTTCATTTGTTCTTCAGATATTTCTTGAGGGCCAGGCACTGTCCCAGGCTTTGGGGTGCACCTTCCTGACCCTTATACAGTGGCATTCTGTATAAGAATATATAATACACATACATCCCTGCTACTTGGGGACATAGCAGGCTAGGGACAGAAGGATAGGAGGGGTGGTCAGGGAAGGCCTCTTCAAAGGGATGACTTTTAACCTGAAACTGGACTTCCACGGGAGGGTCCCCCCAGGTGCCTGAGGAAGAGCTTTCTGGTCAGAGGAGACAGCAATGCAAACTCGGAGGGGGGGCAAGAGCATCCACACCCACTGGCCTCAGAGGGAGGGTGGAGGGCAGGTTGGAGAGGTGGCAGTAGGCTGCGGGGAGGCTCTGGGGTGGACTTGAGCTGAGAGCCACACTCAGCAGCAGGACCTCTGTGGGGTTTTCAAGGGCGCTGGAGTGGAGCTGGGGCTGGACCTGCAGTTGAGGCCCAGGTGCTGGGGACCCAGGAGTCCTGATCTAGGCCACTGCCTGGCTCTCTGGGGCTGTGGCTGGTGGAAGTGTTTCCGCAGCCTTGGGCAGGGTGGGCTGCCCTCTTCAGCTGCAGCACCCTGACACGGGCAGTCTCTCACCCGTGCCCAGCGCCAGTCCTGTTCTGTCCCCACCAGGCCTCTCCTTGTACCCTCCTCACTGCACCACGGCCAGGCTGTGTCCTCTGCTCTCTTACCCCCTTCAGAGGGCTATTGCTGCACCAAAGGGGGCTTTTCAGCCTGTCTTTGGCTGAGTCTTTGGGGACAGTTTCTCACGTGGCCTTGCTGTCCTTAACATCAGGCTCTCTGGGTCCCTTGCTACCTCCTGGCTCTCTTCTGCTCCTGTGTCCTTTTCTTCTTTTGCCTGATGGCTCCATGCTGGGCAGTTACTCGCTGAGGCCCCACTGTGCGCCAGGCCTTGTGTGTCCTTGGCTGGCTTCCCAGGACAGCCAGCAGTCTCTCCTCCCTGGGCACAAAGACACACGGAGTGTAAGCTGTGGCGAGGGTGGGAACGAAGGCCAGGGTGCTGCCGAGGGGCCAGGGGAACTTCTCCTTCTGTTGCCTGGTCTGTCACCCAGAATCTGCTCCCAGACCCAGGAGCCCAGGCCCAGGCTCTGTGGCTGCGTCTGGGATTCTCCAGGCCCCACAGGAACCTTGGCCAAGAACCCCCTGATATGCTGTCCTTTCTGTCTCCACAAATGCCACCTCTCTGGGTGCCAGGGGGATGCCTCGACTCCCTCCTCCCCCCGTCCCCTCAGTCTGCCCTCACAGACTCCACCTATCAAGAGATGCCACCACCTGCTTCAGGCCCTGCACCCATCAGCCAGGTCTGTGCACCCTCCAGCCCATCTCCCTCTAGTCACCCCCAAGTGTCCAACGCTCAAAGGCCCCCTGCCTCCCAGGAGGAGGGGTCAGTTCTTTGCCTGGCCAGGGAAGCCCCTCAGCCCTTACCTGCTCCCTCAGTCATGCTGGGTCCCAGCCTCCTCCTGGGTGACCTGTCCTTTCTCATCCAGGGCTCCTTGGAGACCTGTGGTAACCTTTGTCAGGTGTCCTTTCTCCACCTTGCCCTCTGGGTCAGGGTCTACATCATGCACTGTAGGATACTCAGCAGTGTGCCTGGTTTCTGTCCACCAGGGGTCAGTAGCACTGCCTCCAGACATCACCAGGTCTCCTCCCAGGGCACAGTGGCTCAGGTGATCTGAGTGCCCACCATGTACGTCCCATGGCACAGCTGCCATGCCTGGTGCCACAGTTTACTCCTTACCAACCCCAAGAGTGTCCCAAAGTTCCTGCTCTAC